GGTAGAAATTATATAACGGTCGATTAATGTGGTAATCGAGGGAGGAACGAGATCGTACGAGGAATCCCTGAGCGGTTTCGAAGGTAGAGGACAAAAGATGGGAGCGCGGGCTCGGCCCTCTTGGGCCATGACGCCGCGACACAACAAGCCGCACCTATCGAACTCCCGTTAACACGTACCCTAAACGTCCATTTTATTCCATATCGCGTTTGCCACCGCGAGGAACCGATTGTTCCTGTAATCACCGATATGCTGCGCCACCGTACTCGATCGTATTAACGAAATCTTGATCGATCAAAATATGCGCATAATTATCGTAGATATGAAAATATCGAATTTTTCGGATATTAATAACTGAAAGTATGTACACGTTGAATTTTAATAATTTTGGAATTATAAAATTATTTGTAAGATAATTATTGCTAATATGGAAATAACGAGAAGAAAATTTTCGAACGATATTCGAAAAGTAATTAAAGTACATGTTGAAAAAATGAATTGGATGATATTTGTAAAAATTTGTAAACAATTTCAGCAGTGATGATTAAAGGGAATGTATAAAATATTCGAATATATGAATTATCAGCATATTTTTTATATTTTGATAATTTTTTAATTTTAAATTTTCTTTAACGTAGTTTCATTTATTATTTTGAATATATATAGAAACAACAATCTAGATTTCTTTTATTTTATAATACATAATAATTACACGCATATTTTTTAACTTATTAATAATATAAAAAGTCTCTTCAGGCTTTTCGAATATTCCAAAATCGGAAAAACACGATCTATCCTTTTTTCACGAATAATTTCTCCCGTTTTTCCAATTCTTTATTCGAATAAAACAAGAAGAAAGGAAAAACTATCCGCCTAGACATTCGATACATTGATGGACGTCAAAAGAACGCTTGCAAAGCCATACCCTTGCAGATACAATTTCCAATATCGCGAGAGAGGGAAAGAGAGAGAGAGAGAGATCTGTACGAAATTCAATTTTCTTCTGTCGCGTTTCGAATTTCCATTTTTTCCTTCTTCTTCCTCTTCTTTTTTTAGCTTTTTTTTTTCCTTTTCGCACTCGACTCGAGATTGTTTCGATTTTTTCGCCATTTTCTTTTTTTTCCTTTAATAATATTTATTTTTATTACACGGATGTTTTTATAACGAGAACGAATTAACCGTGTTTCCTTTCCGCTCGCACAACAGCAAAAAGCCGCTCCTACTTTTTATAATTATCGGTTTCGTCCTTCACTCTTCGATAATTTCACGTTAGCTCATCATCGGCTCAATTACGTAATTAAGAAGCGCAATAATGTCTCGCTGATGGCAATTTATAGTGCAAGGTTAGGACGGGGAAGAGGAACGAGATTTAGATTTCTGTTGAGTTGAGTCAGCGCGATAAGAGAGAGAGAGAGAGAGAGAGAGAGAGAGAGAGAGAGAGAGAGAGAGAGAGAG